ATATATATATATATATATAAAATAAGGTAATTGAATCATGTTCAATTAAAAAATCTTTTCGGGCGTGTTGTGGAAAAGGGAAAAGAAGTGTGGGCGTGTGAACAGGTATAAACCGCTCCGCGTCGCTGCTGCTGTTAGTTGACGCGCGTGGAACTCGAGCCCACTCACTGTGGAGGCTAGAGGGAGGAGGAGGAACAACAAAGTCAGGCAGGTGAAGACCAACATTAACTCCACTAATTTAGTCGCCACTTTGAAGAGGACAGCGAGGTGAAAGGTCTAGTTTTATAGTTTTATTTTTATTTTATTTATTCATTTTTTAATTTAGACGCTGCCGCGTGTGTGACGAGGGTGAACACAGCAGGCGAAAACTTGGTTGACAGGCGCAGGAGGCGACAGAGCTTGACGAAACCTCAACCCCACGAAAGAAACAAGTGTTGGGAGATTTTTTTTTCTTTACGCGACAACGGGACTTGTTTGAACGAGAACGTTAACCTCTGAAGATTGTGGACTTTGAGTCACGTTCGCCTCGCGTCACGTTGTAGCGCACAGATCCCTAATATCACCGCGTTACAATGGGGTGAGTACACTGTACTATCCAGACTTTACTGAATGTGACACCTGCTCTCAAAATAAATACCTTCCCTTGATTTTCCCTCTTTCATGTAAAACTAATGCACCACAGCACGATCGTTTTAATAATTCCGCCACTTGGATCTGTGACCCCAAATTAGCGCCTATCAACCTCGTTAAAATATCTGTTGTTCCACTGACACAAAATTGTTGGATGAATTGGCCATAGATTGCGGTAAATCAGTATGTACAAAATGTGCTTTTACGGTCATGGTGTCATCAAGCGCTGCCCACTGGGAGTGCGTGTTGCAATTAAGTGTGGAGGTCGTTGTGGGCACCCACGGTGGTTCACTCGAGACTATTTTTCTCTTATGCGGTTTGTGGACTACCAGTGGTCCAAATCGATGCTGGTAGTCTACCACTATCCAGTCGAATTGTTACGTAATAAAAGCCATTTACTCTATATTCTTAATGCTATATCCAGGTTAAGGTCCAGATACAACTGTAGTGTGCTTTGTCCGAAAAGGAAAGACAATTGAATGCACTGGCAGAATGACCAGGGCACAATAGTGGAATGATCTTATGATTACTGTAATGCATATTCAACCGCTAGTACCACTACAAGCAGGCAATGAAACTTACTAGTAAACTACTATGCCGGAGTAGTAAGACTAGTAAATGTTTGTCCTGCCCTAGTGGACTCTAGCACTCTGCTAGAATCACCCAAATTCCCGCTTGTTTTTTAATTTTTGCCTGATTAGCAGAAACATGTGGCTGACCGACACGTATGATAAAGTAGCCTAGTCATGCAACAAAATGCAGTAATGGGGACATTTTTTCTTACTCGTAAGACAATTGATCTACTAGTGCGCCCTAGTTATTGTACTTTTTGTATTACTATTGAAGACAAAGCACATATTAATATACTAATGTACCTTAAGATGGATAGCAAATATATTTGCAAACCGTATGATAACTTTGATATAATGGCAATACACTAACCTATTACTAGGAGGCAAAATTGTAGTTGACAACTGCATGCTACCAGTACTGCTAATTGCATAAAATTGTATTAGTTAACGTTGACCACTTCATTAGTAGTATCTACTTTTTGTGTGCAAACGGCAACTCGTGCACAGCTTTGCCTCACAGGTAACATGTAGTTGTCCGACAAGTATGTCAAAGTAATCCTTCGGGTGTGCAGGGATGTCATACAATTAGTGCAAGAATGCATTACCACGAAGACAGTCGTTCTACGAATGTGCTGAATTGCCTTACTAGTGAGGACGAAGAGCATACTAGTACACGGACTTTAAGATGGCCATCAAGGATATTGAATCAATGCTCAAACTGCTTTCCATATGCATCTTTTTTACTTATAAATAACAAACAGCTATGCTGCTGCTGCTCCTACTGCTAATAAAATGTGTGTATCTAGAGAGAGAGAGAGAGAGAGAGAGAGAGAGAATGTAAGGAATTTATGCTTTAAAAGAGCTGCATAAAAATATTTGTCAAAAAATGCAGCTTGGCAATGTTTAGTTTTTGATCAACACTATAACAGGAGATTAAATAAATACAATTCAGAAATCAAGCAGATTTTTTTCAGAAAAGCCTATGTAGCACCAGAAGGACCATATCCACAGGTGTTTTTCATTTTCTTTGGCTGTTTTTATGAGGGTGCTACAAAAAGGTATATTGATGCAGTACACGATAAATGAAAGTTTTGTTTTTGCACTTGTGAGAGTTACAATTGACAAAATGTTTTACATCAAGCATCGTTCAATGTTTTATGATGCCTGGCAGTTTAATTCCCTTTCCATTTTTTTTCTTTTGGAAAAATCAATTCTAAATCCAAACAAATCAGAAGCCAACTGGCATCCTAGAATGTGTCGATCGATTTGACGTTCCACTGCATGAATGTGGCAATATGTTTATTGTCATGGAATTACTTTTTGGCACTAGTATACAGCTGCACTGAGAGGTGTTTTTAATGATTTCACTCAGTGTGAGTGTACCGGTTAAGGCATACATTGAAAAAATGTTGAATTTACTCAGTTTTATTTCGTCAAGTGGATGCACGAAATAAATGTCGTCATAGTGTAGTCTATTTGGAAAAAAATGTATCTCGATCCAGAGGATTTTATTTCATGCAACCACTTGACAAAACCGAATTAAACAAACCATTTTTTTTGAGGGTATGCAAATGTGCATCTGTTCTTCCTTGAATGTGCAGTGGAGGAAAAAATACAATAATAGAGTGTGTGTCAAAGGCCATCAATTGACAATAATTGTCAGTTACCATAAAAAGAGTGAATTTGGCTCTAGTAATTTAAAGGGAATGCTGCAGTACCTGTTTTCCCTGATCACACTTTTGTTTTTAAAGGTGAGTCCCACAGCCGTGGCTCCCTCTCATTAGGTCTGCGTAGTCACCCAAATGCTTTGAAATGTCGTCCACAGTGTTGTCATTAAACTGGCCCCTGTGGACCTGCAGCCGTGAGCTAGCCTCAACTCATGTCGCCAACATGGTGACGCGGCGCTCGCCTGCTTTTAGTCACTGCCAGCATGGAGTCACACTTGACACCTCAATACGTCTGACAAGGCCAAATGGATCTTTCCATTCTTTAGACCCACTAATGGGTCACTTTTACTTGTTCCTTCTTTTTTTTTTGTTGGTTGTCTGTGTATTGCCCCTTTTGGCCCTGGCCCGTTTGCTACTAAATGGGGTTATAGATTACCAATAATTTGCACTTCATGTGAACTTTCGCTACCCTCCTGACCTTGACACATTGGAATTGATTTCATTCCCATTTGTAATTTACAATTGTCACTTTCCAGTGAAAAAAAAACAAAAAACACAGTTATTTTAAGACCCCAGAGAGTACCGAGGTGTATGCATTTTGATGATGATAGTGTATCCTTTCTAATACTTATAAAATACATTTCACTTGCTCATATTTATTGGCTTGCAGAAGTGTTTTGGAATAGACCGAATTTATTCCTTTCTTACTCACAGACGCCAAAAGCAATGCGAGACGCATATTGCTATTTAAAGTAAGTCCTGCTGGGAGCTGCGCTAACACTGGTATAGATGATAATCTTCTGGCTGGCTAGAGACTGACAACGAAAGGCTTAACATTCATTGATTAGGCTCACATGTGACGAGGCCCCAGGTCTCTCGCTGCCCCGCCAGGAGAGCAGACTACATAAACCTAATCTGAGTGTGCCCTCTCCGTCTGGTCAGTAGGCAGGCCAGGAAGGTGTAGAAGGAAAGTGGCTGCACCAGTTGGTGTTAAAAGAAAGAGGAGTAAATGAAAGAAGACAGGCTGAAGGCGGATTGCAAGTCTCTTTGCCAGATGGTTGAGGCCTGGAAGGCCATCTGCTGCCATGCTGTGCCTCAGTGGAGACTTCTCATGTCCTCTTGCTTGCAGCTCGCTGATGAAGCTGCGATCTGTGACCCACTGCCTCTGTTGACCACTGTGCTTGATGGTTAGAAAAATCAAGCCCACTCTCTTCTTTGATGAGCTGATTAAACCCCTTGAAATTAGAAGAGGAACTTGTCACAAAAAGAGTTTGGTTGTTGTGATTTTGGATCCTTCAGTGTAAACGTGTCCTTGTTAAACACAAACACACACCCTTCTTGCCATCAAACGATATGTTTGCTCATTCCCTGCCAGACGTTTTCGATAGTAGAGTTCCCCAAGGTATATAAAGAGCATTTGGACTGAGCTGTCAAGGCCCACAGAATATTGTGTTCCATGACAATGTAAATATCGATTATACCAAAAGAAAGAGGAGGGTCTCTTCTTTCACCATAAAAAAGTTTGTTTCTATGTTTTTCCGTTCTTTAGTCATGAGTAATTTGCAGTAGAAAATGGGCTTCCCCTACATTTTTGACTAGCTGCCACCCTCCTTGGATTCAAATCTAATTTCAAAACCCATTCTGTTTTGA